AGAAAGACAGAATGAAAAAAAAAAAAGTCATAAATAAGTATACTTTGACGATATTCATAATTAGTAAAAGACCATAAGTGTATAAAATTTGAGGGGTTTGCACAAAAGTAACTTTTACTGTCAAACACCCATAAGACAAATAAATGAGAGAAAGATAATTTTTGCAGTAGTGTATTCAGGCTTTTGATATTAATTTTGATTTTTTAAAGATCATGTTGATTCTGATATTGAGACTTTTGATCTTTCTTTTGATTCTTATAAAGATCTTTTAATAAAAGGGAACACCCCTGTCTTGTTTTTCCGTCCGGGATCCAATTTTCGGGGAAGATGGGTCGAAGCAATAACAACATTATTTTTGGTGGAATTTTGATAGTTTCTGCGATTCCACGGATTATACCTATTTTCACAAATACCTCGGCGCAATGCAAACGATTTCAGTTGTACATAAACCATGACAATTAAGCATAAAAGTTGAATGCTTTGCAGTGAAACAATATGTATTGACATTTACTTTAAAAGGCAAACACATTAACTCACTAAATACTCATAAAATGAAAAATTAATAAAGAAATCATTTATGTAAAACTCTGCATCAGTTAAAAGCAAATGGTTTCAAATTTACACAAAAACATGTTTTTTTTTAAGGTGACAAATTTTGAAAAGTGTATTTACTTTGTTTTCTGTGAAAACTGAAATGAATACCGGAAGGACTTATACTCTTATGTGAGAAAACACTACAAAACAATAGAGGCTCAGCACTCTTCATATAAACAACATATATTAATTTTTACTTGAAAAGCTTAACAAACAGGTTTACAAAAAGATTTCACATAAACAACATATATTAATTTTTACTTGAAAAGCTTAACAAACAGGTTTACAAAAAGATTAATCTTTTGTTAGACAACACTATGAAGCATAAAAAATTTTGTGTTTTGCACATAAACACTAAATCTTTGCTTCACTTGAAAAGCTTAACAAACAGGTTTACAAAAAGATTTCACATAAACACTAAATTTAGTGTGTTTTCACACTAAATTTATAGTTGAACTAACAGACTCATCGAAAACCCACAAATAAACCAATGAGTAGAAGGTGATCTCTGTAGATGTGTATTACTTAATAGCAGCAAATATGAAAACATAAAGAGTTAAGAGTATAAAAGAAGCAGACTGATCTGAATAAAAGAAGACAGGATGATGAAGAGGATATAAATGCCTAGAACAACTCTAACAGCAACAGAAAAAAACAGCCATAGAGCAAGAGACAAGCACATTTACTGGGCACCTGAAAATTATTAAATGTCATTACCAGCCAGCAGCAGAAGCAACAAATTCCCACAAACAAACACCCACTGAACTGCACACTGCAAGTAAAAAGAAAGAAAATTAAATTCTGCCACAGCATAAGGACAAAGTATCCAGAATCTGTAGGAATATGTATATATATATTTGGGGCTAAATTACACATATAACACCTCATCTTGTATTAAACTACTACAAACAAACAAGAGAAGGATTATTGATCATATATATTGGTTCATATAAGTGGGCAGCAGAAAAATCCCGTTCTTGTAAACACAAAACAACTAAAAAACAATAAACTGAAGAAATTAACCACCCGACATGAATATATTTTAAAAAGGCACAACGAAAAAAAGTCAAGAACGAAACAACGAACATTAGCGAAGAAAGAAGCACATGAAAGAAAAGTTCTACATATAGAGCCTGAAGAAGGTGAAAAGGTAAGGGAAGAAAACCAACGGGAAAATGACAAAGCTCCGAAAGTGAATGTGAAAATTACAGAATGTAAATATATATATAGATATATTTTTATATATATTTTTTATTTACTATGAATAACAAATAATACATTGCATTAAAAAAAAAAGAAAA